CCCTAACCCACCTCGCCCCACCCCCGGTTTGGAAGTTGGATCACCTCACTGTGACACAACGTCCTAGTCAAGCAGCCTTCTCCACAGTGAAGTTCAGGTGGCCAAACAGGCTCCTGCTGTAACAGGGAGGGGCTGGGACATGGACCGGCGCTGCCAGGGCAAAGCAAGACCTTATCAACCCAACCTGATGCAATGCACCGTGGCGGCGGCCCTGGGTGGGAGGGCTGGACGGTGTCATGAATAACCTTTATGAACCCCAGCAGCTGGGCACCTCAGCTCCATCCTCACGCTGCCCCCACACCCCAGTCCCAGACATCCTGCCCCTCTTCAACCTCCTCTGATTTTATAACGGCAGCTTCCCCTTTGCAGAGCTACCTGAGGGAACACTGCTTGGAGAACACTCCCTTAGCCCAGATGGCCATGCAGTAGTAGATGTCACAGAGTTGGTGCTCCTGGAAGGGACAAGTTAGAGAATGACTGAGGTGGGTGGAGCACCTCCCAAAAGGTTTTCTGGAGGACACAAGTTCTGTGTAATGAATCTTACTAATTAACGAACAGTGACTGAAAAAGCTCATTAGCCACCGTTCCATCCGCATAGGGTCAACTCCAGGAGTGAAGAATCAGACAAAAGAGAACTGATGTGTAATCAGCTATGATTTGACAGATGGGTGGGAGGACCCAGCGCCAGTTTTGGCCTAGGTGATCTAGAGCATCAAACAATCCAACGCCATCTTCTGTTTGGCTCTAGAGTCTAGTCTGTGATTGTCCTTTGACAATAAATTGCCCTTCCTATATTTTCCTCTCCACCTCATGGTACTGATAAGAATGTTAGCTGAGTTACTGAGGCTTACTATGTGGCAGACCTTGTACTAAGTGCTCCAAATACGTGATCTCATTGAAATGTCCCAGTGATTCTGACACAGGTGGGTACTATAATTACTCACATTCTATAGGCGGGGGAACCACAGCATATAGAGGTTAAATAACTCAGCCCAGGTCACACAGCCAGAATGTGACAGGACCAGCATTAGAACGCTGGGCTTCCAGAGCCTGAACCTGTATCGCTCCTCTCTATGCTGGACAGGCTATGTTACAGCCCATGTAACACCCTGTGTGAATTAGACCTATGCCCTGAGAGTGGGGGGCAGACTGCATCAAACCCCCGCAGGTCCCCTTTACAGTGTCCTTTGTGATGCATAGCCCGCACCATCAGACGTGGCAGCCCCAAGCATAGGTGCATTCATTTAAATGAATCAAACTGCACGCTCTTGACAAAATGAAAACGAAGAACTAAGGTTAGTGGTATCAGTCCCCGAATGAACCTGCGATTACCTCAGTTTCCAGATGCCTCCAGTAGTATAATCATCTTGCCACACCAAGTATGTGTTTACAGACAGGGTTCTGGTTCTGGCTCTAGTGTTCAACATTCTGGTGTTTAAAAATAGGTACTTTTTGTATCGTGCCTCTAAACACAGGCCAACTACTTTGTGTGCTCAACCAAAGAAATTCTGTTCCTATGCTGGACAAAAACGCTGTCTGTGTTGGACATGATTTGTTTCCACTTGGCACCTTCCTGGTAGATTTTCTGAGGGTAATTTTTGGGGGTTTTGTTTGTTTATTTGTTTGTTTTTGAGACAGAGTCTTGCTCTGTCACCCAGTCTGGAGTGCAGTGGTATGATCTCGGCTCACCGCAACCTCCACCTCCCAGGTTTAAGTGATTTCCTGTGTCAGTCTCCCGAGTAGCTGGGGTTATAGGCATGCACCACCACCCCCAGTTAATTTTTGTATTTTTAGCAGAGATGGGGTTTCACCATGTTGGCCAGGATGGTCTCAAACTCCTAACCTCAAGTGATCCCCCCGCCTCGGCCTCCCAAAGTGCTGGGATTGCAGGAGTGAGCCACAGCGCCCAGCTAGTTCCATCCTGACATGATTTTTGCTGTGCCAGCTTTAGAAGCCAGTGTCTCTCTCCAGACTCCTCCAGCTTCCTCCATCTACGCTGCCTCAGTAGTTTGTGTCCCTGAGTTGGGTTGGGCAGATGGGGGAAGAGAGGGGCAGGGGGTTCTCCCTGGGAGAGGGTCCCAGCAGTTCAGGTGACGGGTGGCAGGAAAATCTGCCCGATATGCAGCTCAGCTTTGGATGAATCACGGAGGGGTAATGGAGTCAGGCAGCCGCAGAGACTGGCTCTGCAACATCACATCTCCAGGTCGGCTTGACTTCCTAGCTCCCTCACTGAGAATACCAGTAAACCCCTGTTTTCCCACAGGCCTGCCCCCACCCCACCCCAAATCTGCCAGAACTTGAGTGTGGGTAGGAGGCGAGGCCCAGCCCCGATTGCCCCATTGTGAGACACACCTAGGGCTTGGCAGCCAGCCTCTTGGGTCTAGGGAGGGAGTGGGGATTCCAAGAGATAGACACTGGGTTTTCGGGGCCTTGGCGAACACCAGGTGGAAAGCCAGGAATCCTGGGAGAGAAAGGGGGCTGGGGTGTGGAGTATTAGGGGGCAGAACTCAGGGCATCCCTGTCCCATCCCTTCCTCCCTTCGTCAGTGTTGTCACACCCAAGAAAGCAGCCTCATCCACCAGCAGGTCCGGTTTCTTCCTTTGCCACCCACCCTATGTGCCCTGTGCTTAAACCGGTCCTGGGAAGTCTTCCCGGATTGGTCCCACTTAATTCCAATCCCTCTCTCCATTGGCTAATTTGTAAATATTTATTTTACTCTTGGTGCTGGGGACTGCAGATGGTCAAAAGACCTGCCCTACGGAGTCCACATCCTAGCGAAGGAGACACCATAATGCAACAAAAAATAGACACACAAACAAGATTACTTCAGAGAAGGACAGGTGCTGCGAAGAAAACGGGGCCATATGATGCTGACAGGGCTTCATTGGTCGATGGCCTGAGGGTCGGGCGCAGCGGCTCACACCTGTAGTCCCAGCACTTTAGGAGGCTGAGGCAGGAGGATCACTCGAGCCCAGGAATTCCAGACAAGCCTGGGCAACATGGCAAGACCCCATCTCTATTAAAATACAAATTTAAAAAGGTGGCCCAGGGAGAGAAATTTGAAATTAGTCCTAAAAGCAGATGAAGCTCTGGCTTTCTGAAGACCTTGGTAACAGCCGCCCTTGTTCCCTGATGGCCTGTGCCAGTAGGCCCAGAGGGACCTTAGAGAGGGAGGCCAAGCCTATCGCATAGAGCCGTGGTGAGGAATAGGGATTTTATTCCAGGGCTAATGAGAAGCTGGTGGTAGGTTCCGAGCACGGGCTCCTTCCGGGCGTTGTGAAAGAATGGGATCTAAGGAATAAGATGGAAGCTGCGGCTTCAGGAGGTCACTGGAGGAGCCCTGAAAGGAGAAAGGGGTACCCACCCTTAGTTGGAGGGCCCCTTATGCCAGGGGACCTTAGCCTGCCTCGGGTGTCACTCTAAGCTTTCAAGAGCTGCTTTCAGCTCTTTGGGCCACGAGCACCCCACGAGCCAAGAACCGTGCCCACCCTGCCTCTCCCAGTGCCTCAGGGACTGGGCCGAGGAGACCTCAGCTCCCCGCGGGTTTCCACCCCCACCCACGCTCTGGGAAGCTCCCTGTGCAGCGAGGATGCAGCCTCCTCCTTGGGACAGCCCCGCGCTCTCCCCCTTGTGGCCTCCAGGAGGTACTGCAAGGCTCTCCTACGGCGTTGAACCCCGGAGGACAAGTACAAACCAGTGTCAGGATTTCAGGACCCAGGAGAGAAGAGAGGCCGAACGGAAGAGCGGCCGAGCCTTCTCCCAGGCAGGCGGACTGGGTCAGCTTGGTTTCCTGAAGTCAGTTTTGGGCCGGGTTTCTTTCACGTATACATCCCTGTGCCTGTCCTGTGGTTGGAGAGTGACCTAGGCAGATGGGGGCCATGCCCTTAGGGAACTCAAACCTGGGAGGGAGTCACTTAGGCTGGCAGGGCACCTCCTGTCCACCTTTTACTTCCTGTCCCCTGCAGGGATGCCAGGGGGACAAAGGGGTGGGGGATCCTTAATCCGGACGTGTTGGACCAGCTTGGTGGGGCTTAGGGGCTCCAACTGCAGACCCCCAGCCCCATCCCAAGGGCTCCTCAGCGTGGAATACGCCTGGCTCAGCCTGCGCCGCAGCCTCTCCTGTTTCATTGGTACAGTGATGGGGTGGAAGTGTTCTCCTCCCTCCCTCTGTATCCTGGAAACACAGGGCAGTGCCTGTGATAAGGCCTTGGGTTAGATCCAGTGCCCCTAACTTCCTAAGCGCCTCTCCCCGGCCATACCCCCATCCCCACGGCAGCCTGTCCAGGTGGTGAAGCATAGTCTCTACCAGCACCTTGCTCCTGTTTCCTGCCCTCTCCCTGACCTTCTGGGACTGACCTCCCGCTTTGAACAACCTCTTTCCTCCTGCCTCCTGACTTGAATAGTTCCATTGTCGCTTTTTCAGGCCACCAAAACACCTGTGGCTGCTTCAAGTGCAAAAAGAACTGTATTCAAGCCGGGTATGGGGACTTACGCCTGTAATCCCAGCAACTTTGGGAGGCCGAGGCGGGTGGATCACCTGAGGTCAGGAGTTCGAGAACACCCTGGCCAACACGGTGAAACCCCGTCTGTACTAAAGATACAAAAATTAGCCAGGTGTGGTGGCGCATGCCTAGCTACCCAGGAGGCTGAAGCAGGAGAACTGCATGAACCCAGGAGGTGGAGGTTGCAGTGAGCCGAGATCATGCCACTGCACTCCAGCCTGGGCCACAGAGTGAGACTCACTCTTAAAAAAAAAAAAAAAAAGAATGGTATTCAGATATAGGTTGGTTAATGATTTTTTTTTTTTTTTTTTTTTTAACAGATGAGGAAACTGATGCACGATGCAGGTTGCTTGTCAGAAATAAAACCCAGGTCTCATCTCTCTCGGCCTCTGTGCCTTATACCAGTTTCAGGCAGATTAGCTGCCCCTAAATCACTCTTCCATCCTCCCTGAGCCAGGCCATCAACATAGCATTAAAGAATAAAATTTGAGAAAGTCGTAGGGAAACAAGACTCATGTTTTATTTCCACAGAGAGACTCAAAAGTAGGAAGCTCCTCCTTCCTGGAGAACTGTCACAGTGACTTCAGGTCACAAAAGGGAGCAGGTAGAGAAAGATGCTGGTGTATCCGATGAGGCTGGTGGTCACTGAGGCCCCACAGTGCAGTGGGAGGAAATAAGGAGACACAAGCTGGGTCCCCAGCCTAGGAAACAGAGGTGCAGCAGCCGGGCCAGGGCTGGTACAGGCTGGGAGCCAAGAGGAGGAGCTCCCTGACTACCAGTGTTTTTCGGGGCCTCGGTGGTGGTTGGAAGAAATTGCCTAGAAGAAAGAAAATCAAATGGTAGCATGTGGCCATTCCTAAGCCTGCGGAAATGGGGCATCTTTTCACCCAGAGTCTGGGCGCCCACCATTCTTTTGCTGTCCAACCTGTTCACCTGTGGTGCCCCTCACTTTTGCTTCACCTAAAACAAAGTTTGTGGTTCTGCCGAGCTAAGCTATCACCTCTCGCCCCTGCAGCCTCGCTGCGTCCTGCCTCTGAACCTTTCCACCAGGAGGCTCTTTTCTCTATAGTTCCCCTGCAACATCTCTATCCCGGTCCCTGTGCTCCATCTAGAACGCCATCTTCTCTTCTCAGAGCTGTGCCTGTGTGGTCCCACCTTAGGGTGCTTTCTGATGGTCCTAGGTCATTTTCTTTCTTCCTTTATCTCTTTCTTTGTTTCTTTCTTTCTCTCTCTCTCTCTCTCTCTTTCTTTCTTTCTTTTTTTAGAGACAGGGTCTCCCTCTGTTGCCCAGACTAGAGTGCAGTGGTGTGATCATAGCTCACTGCAGTTTTGAACTCCTGGGCTCAAGCGATCGTTCTGCCTCAGCCTTCAAGTAGCTGGGACTACAGGCAGGTGCCACCATGCCCGGCTAATCTTTCCGTTTGTTTGTTTGTTTGTTTTCATTTCATTTGTTTGTTTGTTCGTTCTGATTGCCCAGGCTGGAGTGCAGTGGCGTGATCGCAGTTCACTGCAGCCTCAAGCTCCCAAGCTCAGGTGATTCTCCCACCTCAGCCTCCAGAGTAGCTGGGATTACAGTCATGCACCATCTCACCTGTCTAATTTTTTGTATTTTTAATAGAGACAGGGTTTTGCCATGTTTCCCAGGCTGGAATGGTTTGTTTTGGTTTGTTTTGCTTTTCTAGAGGTGGGGTCTTGCTATATTGCCCAGTCTGGACTCAAACTCCCAGCCTCAAGTGATCCTCCCACCCCAGCCTCACAAAGCACAGAGGTTACAGGCATAAGTCACCGCACCTGGCCCTAGATCATTTTATTATGGGTCTTTCTCCACACCCCACCATGAGCTCCCCTCTGCCTTAACACCTTTAGAGCGTCCACGCAGAGCATACCTGACTTCATGTCGCTGCCCACTGAGATCTGAGGATATACCAAGATCCTGGCCCTGCCCTGGGGTGACTGTGCATCCGCTCCCAGGATGTGGCCTGGTGCGGCCCACTCTGATACTCACCTACCAAAACTTCACCCACTGTAGCAGGCCAGGTTGCACCCGGGAAGCCTGCCGGAAAAAGAGAAAGTCTGAGTGGTCACCACAGGGTCCCTTCCACACCCTCTGGCCTCAGGCCCCTTCTCTCTCCAGCCAGATGAAGATCAGGCCCCCATACTCACCGAGGAAGAAGGCGAGACTCCCCCCTGCGAAAAGATCAAAGGAAAGTGATGTGGGGCTCATGGCCTCCCTGTACCCTGCCATGGCCTCCGAGCTCACGAAGGACCCAGCGGCAAGGGCAGGCTCACACCAGGGCTATCACCAAGGTTCTCCAGTCTGACTGTGGACATTCAGACTGTGGAGTTGGTTTCACAGCACATTTATTATCCTAAGTGTACTTGATCCAAGATGATATTGAACATGATTCCTGGGCACGTACTGGCCAAGGGGGTCAAAAGAGGATAGGCCTCCCTTCGGCCTGCCAGGTGGGTCGACATTGGCCACAGATAACCCGGCAGAGTGGAAGCCACAGGCAGTAGAAGCTGCATGTCCCTCCTCTCACCGGCCTGTAGTTTCTCTCAGTGGAAGGTCCACTCCCCAAGGCGAGGACTTTATTGTCGTGAGAAATGGAAATACCCAGCCTGCTGTCGCTTTGTCAGCTGAATTTGCACTTAGCATATTCATTTACTGATGTTACGAGATTGCCTTCATTGCAACAGAATGAAACCATATTTTCACGTATTTTTTCCTTTCATTTCCTTTGTGGAATAAAGCATCCATGTTCCCACCAACCATCCACTCCCTGGCTGGCCCCTAAGCACGAGTCTGTTTTCCTCACTCTCCATTCCATCTTCCCCAAAAAACGTCCACAGAGAGGGAACCTGTGAGGAAGAGCTGCTCGTGTGTTTTGCAGGTGTCGTGATTTTTTTTTTTCTAGACGGAGTCTTGCTCTGTTGCTCAGGCTGCAGTGCAGTGGCGCAATCTCAGCTCACTGCAACCTCCACCTCCTGGATTCAAGCAATTCTCCTGCCTCAGCCTCCCAAATAGCTGGGACTACAGGCGCCCGCCACCATGCCCGGCTAATTTTTGTGTTTTTAGTAGAGACGGGGTTTCACCATGTCGGCCAGGTGGTCTTGAACTCCTGACCTCGTGATCCGCCCGCCTGGGCCTTGCAAAGTGCTGGGATTACAGGAGTGAGGCACTGCGTCCGGCCGGTGTCATGAGTTTTTAGAGCCTATATTCTTCTTGGAGAGGGTGTTGGTTCTCAGTTTTCTCTGTTGCTGCTGCTCCTTTTTAACCTTTTCTGACTGGGTGGGTGTGAGGAGCATTGAACCCTCCTGCCTTTCGCTTCCAAACTGTCTCAGGGAACCCGAGTCTCCCTTGCAAAAGGGTGGGGAGGCCTGGACTCAAAGAGAGCGGGATCCAGCCTCAGGCAACCAACCGAGAGGACCCGGCAGAGAAAGCCTCTCTCCCCATCCCCCATGCAGAGCCCCCTGTGGGAAGACGGGGCGGTTGCAGGTCTCACCTTTGCAGGGGTCTTGACTGAGTACTGCCCACCATAGGCAGTGGGATACGCATGCTGGTTATAGTTGTAGTTCTGTGGAAGAAGTGGGCGTGGGGGTTAGAACAGACGGAAGAAGGCCATTTTGCTCTGGAATAAACATCCCACCTTCCTGTCTGGACCGAACCTTTCTTAAAACGCCTGCCTTCTCCCCTCGTGTCACGTGTTTTCTTTTATAGAATCTCCTCCAGCCAGCCAGGGCCCACACCCTCACCTGCCTTTACTGTCCTAGCCCAGATGGCCACCACCTTCTCCTCCTCCTCACCCTGCCCTCGAGTCCTCTCCCAACTCTTCAAGTGTTACTTGGGAGATGAGGGTAGGAGACCAAGAAAAGAAGCTCCAGGACCTAACCCAGTGGGTCCGTGGTAGATGTCTCACCTTGGAAGTTACAGCTGCCACCTCCTACCAGCCTGCACCTGGCTGAGAACGCCATTGAATGGGGTGGGGAGTGGGGGCAAAGAGAATTTCAGATTGCCCAGACCTGGGAGCAAGGCCAAGGGGGACCAAGGGCCCTGCAGGGGAACCTGAGGACGGAGACTCACCTGATCGGCGCCGCCTGCACGTTTCTGCAGTGATGACGTGTCCGCACCCTGAAAGAAAGAAGGGGCCACAGTTTTTGCCTCTGCAGTCGTGCGGGCCTTGCCGGGCTTCCGGAGCCCCAGTTTCTCCCTCACCCCACCCTTTCCACGTGCTACCTATAGAGAAGGCAGTGAGCCTGGAGAAGCTGTTGGCCCAGATAGATAGACGACAGATTTCCACACTCAGCGTTGGGAGCCAGGGAGAGAACCAGGTTTGGCAACTCCTTCCCCACCCATGCCCTGGGAGAGTTGGCAGCTCCAGCCTGAGACTGAGCTAGAACAAGTGAGTTGCAGCCACGCAGGCTCCTCTGGGGCAGACCCAGGCACCGCAGCCCAGCTCGCCTTCTGCCTGTACCAAGTCCTGCTGCTATGCCCGTAGGCCCTTAGTCCCTGCACACCGATGCCATGCCCCACAGGGTGCTTGAAGGAGGGGTTGTTATCTGCAGAAGCTGCATGCTTAGGTTAGCTCTGGGCTGCAGGAAGCAAAAAATGAGAAATACAAGAAAACAGATAAAGCAACTTAAGACACTGCAGATGCGCCGGACACCCCCAGCCCCAGCACAGGAGGAGAAACAGCGTTGATAAGCCATCACAGCTTCTCCACTTGGACCCTCCACCCTGCCACACACACACACAAAGTGACAGTGAAGTCCTGACTCCAGCATTAACTCTGCCTTATCCATACCTGACCTTGAACCTAAACCCCACTGCAAGCCCTAACCCTGAGGTCACAAACTGGTTGACCATGGGCCTCCAGATACTTTTTGCTTGGTCCACGTAAAAATTAAATTAGTTACAATTAGAGATCAGCATCCTGGTTCTTCGTGAAACATCAGACGACCTGCCACCCTGTTCACACACACATGCATGACCGCACTCAGCTGAAGTCGACCTCCCCCTTCGCAGGGCCCCACCTGTCCAGCCTCATGTGCTTGGCACATGTAGACGAGGGAGCAGGCAGCCCTTACCTCAGTGCCCATGGGTCCTGTTTCTCAAAGTCTACTGGCCATGCACAGTTGGAGTGTGGTCTTTGGCACGGTCCAGAGGTCCGGCCCATCCTCCCTGACCCAGGTCTTCAGACCCTCAGCAGCTGCCTCCACTAGACAGGGACCTGACCCCTGCATACCGCCCTCTCATTCTCCCTCAGCTGTCCTCCCCATGCCCCAGCCTAGGCCCCTTCTTCCCCACAACGTGGTCTCCCCGCACCTGCGCACCCTGCGGTACCCACCCAGCCGTGGCTCCCCTGGGTCCAGGCCAGGCCCAGCAGGAGCAGGAGCAGAGCAGAGGCAGTGGCCAGCTTCATGTTCATGTGCTTGTGGAAGCCCCAGCGCTTGGCCTTGGCTTTTATCCTAGGGAGGTCCTCCCACCCTGCTCCTCAGTGACTCACAGCTTCTCCCTCTCACCCCGCCCCCACTTGGGATTGCACAAAGCCTGGGAAAGCGGGAAGGGAGGGGAAGAAACTGGGACAGACACCTGGGTCAGCGGCTCGTCCAGGGCCCCGAACCCCGTGTCCCAGAGCTGAGAAGTCCTGTCCCCCTTACCTCAATAATTGCTTTCCAGTTGAGGAAAGGAGTATTGTGTTTGAAATCCTGCAGGGAGAAGGAGGGCGGAGTGGGACGGGGACGCAGAACCCAAGGGGTGGTCTGTGCAGCAAATTGGGGTAGTCTCCAGATCTTGGGTAGGAAGGAGCTTTTGGGTGTGGTTTGGGGTTGGAGGAAGGTAAGCACGTGGGAGATTGAGGGTGTCAGCACTTGAGATGGTATTGGTGATAAGATTTGGGCGATAAGATTTGGATGAGCCATCTCAAAAATGAAAAGAGGGGGAGTTTGGAGACAGGTGGTGGGAGCAGAGGGTGGCTGCCTTGAGGGAGGCTTGGGGAGTCGGGAGGGCCAGGCCCCCATTCTTCAAAGAGCAAGAATTCTCCTACCTCCCAGAGTCGGCTGAAGTAGAGGAGGGCTCGGGTGCTGGGGGGTGGGACTTTGTTCTGTGGATGAAAGGCGGTGAGCAGGTTAGCAGAGAGCCTGGGCACGCTCACCCACCCCTCCTCCTGCTACTGCCCTTTCTCAGCCTTCAGAACGTCATTGTGTCTAAGGTTTGGAACGGGAGGAGCTGGGAGTCTTTAGGGACACCGGAAAACCATGTTTGGAAACAGAGGGAGAGAGAGAGGCACTAACCAACTCTCCCTGTCCCAGAGCATACAATGTTCTCTATCCCAAGTCCCCCAGCCTCCAGCAGAACCTAATTCTAGCAAAACCTCAAGACTAGGACCTGCCTCAGAGCATCCCCTTTCCACCTGCCGGGCCTCCTCCATCCCATTTCCCAAAGCTGTGGGCTGCAGTCACCCTTTCCACACCACCCCGGACAACAGCGGAGACGTAAGAAAGGAGCAGAGACCAGGAGTTTAGGGCAGCTAAGGTTTATTTCAAGGGCAAGGGCTGAGATTAGTGATGAGAGAGTGGTGTTTTAAGAAGGGAGTAGGGGGCTCCCATCCATCTGGTGGCTCCTTGTCTGGAGGTCACGGGATGCGAGAGCTCCTCTGGTCCTGGGCAAAGAAATAGGTTCTTTTTTTTTTTTTTTTTTTTTTGGAAATGGAGTCTCGCTCTGTCACCCAGGCTGGAGTGCAATGGCACAATCTCAGCTCACTGCAACCTTCGCCTCCTGGGTTCAAGTGATTCTCCTGCCTCGGCCTCCCAAGTAGCTGGGACTACAGGCGCACACCACCACACCTGGCTAATTTTTGTATTTTTAGTAGAGATGGGCCACATTGGCCAGGCTGGTTTCAGACTCCTGACTTCAAGTGATCCGCCAGCCTTGGCCTCCCAAAGTGCTAGGATTATAGGCGTGAGCCACCGCGTCTGGCCAGAAATAGGTTCTAAAGAGAGAGCTTGAGGAACAGGAATTCCGGGACATCGTGAGCCGATGCAAGGGTATAAAAGACCCCTGCTCCGGAAATCTACAGGGACCTTTTTGCCCCACTATCCAAACAAACCCAGATATCCTGGCGTGGGCTTGAGAACCCCCTGCCTTGTCAGAAACATTACCCTGTGTTCCCCTCTGCTCCCTCCTCACTCTGGCTGAAGTCCTCATCTCCCTCACCCCACTGTGGAGAGCGGGGCTCCACCCTCTGCCCTGCCCACCTCTGCCCTGCCCCGCTTTCTAGGAGATCTGCCTCCTGAGGAGCTGGCCCAGATGAATCCTGCCTCACTGCCATCACTCCATCGACTGCCACCCTAGATGGGCAAAAATGGCACAGTGTCGGTCCTGGTTCTCTGGGAAGTGTCTGTATGTGCCCTGGCTCCCCATCAGACCCTAAGTTCCCTGTGACCCGGGAAAGAGTCTTGTTTCTACCAGAAACCGTTCTCTATGAAACAGAGAGGCCGGATGCAGTGGCTCACG